AAAAGAAAAGAAAAGAAAAGAAAAGAAAAGAAAAGAAAAGAAAAGAAAAGAAAAGAAATAAACTAAGAAAATCCCTAAAACACAAAAATCCCAACATATTTGCAATCCTCTTGATAAACTAGGAACTATGTCTGTGTCCTGTCTTTCCTTAAGATAGGTGTGATGGGAGGAAAGAAGGCAGTAAGGTCAGAGAACTACACAGAAGCTGTAAAACATATGTTTTGATACAGTCTCTTCCCCTATGTAGCTGCTTTAGTATTGATCACAGCCTAAATCTATACCTGTTAAAAACTCTTTTAGTACTAGCAGGGCTTCAATAAGCAAAGATTCTCTTCTACTGCCTTAAATTTCAATCAAACAAGCAGTCAGGAAGTAAAACAGGGAAGGTTCCAGGAGAGTTTGTTTTTTAATCTGAGAATCCAGAATAATGTTAATCAGTCCCATACAAGATTGTGAAATTCTTGAAAATATTTGAGAACTAAAGACTTGAAAGATTTTTTTTTTTTCCCTTCTCTCTCCATCTGCTCTACAGACCTGAATTTTTGGTTTTTTCTATCATTCACAGTCCTTTACTATTGCATTTTGCCACACTATGGACAGACAACAGTGGTCAGGACTGAGAAAAGTCACCAGGTAGCCCACCAGCCTGTGGTTTCTAATCCAGATCCCAATAGCCCTGGTTTGTCTAAAACATTGGCAACAGCCGTGTATAATCCACCAGCTGCAGGGAGGGCATGTAGCAGCTCAAGTAGTAACAAGTCTTTCATTTTATTGGACACTGAACTTCTTGTATAATCAGTGGCCTCATGTCAAAACATTTCTCAGACCAATAGCTGTGTGTGTGTGTCTTGGTTTGACAAGACTCAGTGATGATAGCAATCTCTGGCTCCCCTGTGGGTTGTGAGGTTCCTCCATTCCTGCCCAACCTCCAACAGATGGCAAATAGAATACAAACTTATCTTACAACCCGGGACATTATGATCACAGGTATACTCAGTGTGGATGGGTCTTAGGTGAGGCCAGAGACTCATACACAAATCAAGGGTCAGCAAAAAATGGCTTTGATGGTAATAAAACTGTGGTAGGGACTACATGAGTGGACCAGTCCTAAAAGACCTCAAGATTCTGGTTTTGTGGTGTGGCTTAAAATCCAGCCTCTACCATCACAGCATTAATCAGCTTGTCAGGGATGGAGTCACTCCCTTTTTTCAGACATCACATAATGTTGGTGTTCAGCTAATGAGATCCTGGCATCCAAATTATCCATCAATACCACCAACAGGAAGATAATTTTGTATGTTCTCTGTCATTGATGGCCCCAGAAAAGTTCCTCAAATAGTCCCAGAATACTGAAGGTCTTAGAAGACCATAAGTTGTGACACTGCAAAAATCTGAATTGTGTGACAATTTGCAATTGATCCTGGCACGGCCAGAATTGACCCAGAAGCATGGATTTCCTGGAGGCAGCATGTAACCTCTGCCTCACTTGTTTTTAAAATTCATTGAAGAACTTGTGCTTACATTCAGTCATTTTGGTTAGGTTTTAGTCAAAGAATCATAGAATGGTTTTAGTTGGAAGAGACGTTAAAGTTCATCTAGTTCCAAATTCTTGCCATGGGTAGGACAGCTTTTGCTACACCAGATTGCTCAGAGCCTCATCCAATCTGGATCTCATACACTTCCAGGGATGTGGCATCCACAGCTTCTCTGGGCTCTTTGTTCCAGTACCTTACTACCCTCACAGGGAAGAGTTTATTTCTAATATCTAATTTAACCCTATTCTCTTTCAATTAAAATCCATTCTCCTTTGCCCTGTCACCACATGGTCTTGTAAAAGGTACTTCTCAATCTCTTTTAGGTTTCCTTCAAGTACTGGAAGGGAGCAATTAAGTCATCCCAAAGCCTTCTCTTCTCCAGGCTGAACAACCCCAGTCCTCTCAGCCTTTCCTCATAGGAGAGGTGTTCCATCCCTCTGATCAGCTTGGCCTATTGGCCTCCTCTGGACTTACTCCAAAAGGTTGATGTCCTTTCAGTGCTAGGGACCCCAAAGCTGAATGCAGCACTCCAAGTGGGGTCTCACCAGAGCAGAGCAGAACAGAGGGGCAGAAGCACCTGCCTTGAACTCCTGGCCACACTGCTTTTTATGGTTGGCTCTCTGGGCTGTGAGTGCACATGGCTGGGTCACGTCCAGCCTCTCATCCAGCAGCACCCCCAGGTCCTTTTCAGCAGGGCTGCTCCCCATCTGTTCATCTCCCAGCCTGTGCTGATACCAGGGGTTGCCCTGACCCAGATGCAGCACTTTGCGCTTGGTCTTGAAACCTCATGAGATTTCCATGGGTCCACTTGAGCTTGTCCAGGTCCCTCTGGATGGCATCCCATCCTTCAAGTATGACAGCTGCACCACTCAGCTTGGTGTAATCTGCAAATTTGTTGAGGGTGCTCTTGATC